ATGAGGTCCAGACTATGAAGTGAATACCTAAGAAGGCTCCAACCAAGCTTTCTGAGTTTCTGGCGCATAGCTGTTAACACATTTCTCCGTCTCTTGACTAAAATATGCACTTCTTGGCTATTGCTTTTTCTAGTGAGTTCAATCGCTAACAGTGCTCAGAGATCATATGCCGCCTCACTGTTCTTCGACCACGACCGTTTTCGTTAGGCATTGCTGTAAGTCATCCACTTCAGATGGGGTAAATTTTGTTACGATTCAACAGCGATTCGCAGTTGTAAATTTTGTTCATGAGAATTTTTTCTCATTGACTCTTGGCTAGCATAGAAGTACAACAAGTTTCTTATGTATCCAGTCCTCGCATAAGGATCAGACTCGACGATTTCCATTTCTTTATCGAAATTTTTGACAATTGGCCACGCCGAGCTGTTATGAAGCATATTTTACATTAAAACTACCGGAAAGAAATCGATGAAGCCAAAACGCTGACTTGAGTTTTCGGCCTTATCAAAGGAAAGCTGTAGAATATAGCGTATTTCCGCTTTACAAGTGTTCATCATTCACATGCGCTCTGATGCTGCGAAGATAAGTGATCAACACTTCTCCAGGTATTCTATTTCCAGATGTCTCTTTTAATCTTAATAAAACGCCACCTACACATGTACCGAGTTCTAAGTATGTTGAACAATGAAAATGCTTTTTTTTGGCTTAAGTATGTATGAGTCTACTAAGGTTAAAATCACAACATCGCGCTGAACACTGTGAATATGCCTTGCGATTTGTGTTTAGAAATAAGCATACGAAAAAAAAAATGTTTGTTTTAATTTTCAGTGGAGAAAGTATAAATAAACTCACCTGTAAAAAATGAACAAAAGAAGGGCTGCTTGCTCATACATCTTCTATCGACGTTGCGTGCATACATTGTCTACTGGGTAATGAAGGTACGTACACATGTACATATGAGCCACCTTTCAATTCCCATAATATGATGAATGTGTTATCAAAATTTTAATTAGAAATGTCAAAGCTGTGACTAAGATTATGACATTAATCTTAAGGGAAAACAAATCACGTGCGAATGACGCTCACAATGCATATATCAAATGTGTGTTTGACATTAGTATGTACACGATGGTTGTGTGTGTGTATATCTTGTTGGTGTAGTAAATGTGTACTTTGTTAAAGGGTTTTTACGTTTAACCATTTACAACGATGAAATCAGCATTTGATGGAAAATATGCATTAATGAAATTTTTTAACGCAAACAAATATTTATTTATTAAATAAAATTAAATTAAGAATTCTGAGTTCGAGTGGCACCGAACATTTATATATGACTGATATTTATGTAATACTATCCCCGCAGGGAAAAGCAACTAGTATGCAAAAACTCTAGTTATATACTAGTTACGTTGAATGTGAAATCATACCAGTCCGACATATGTAAAGAAGTCCATCAATAACGGGAGAAATAACCATTTCCACCACTGTTTGTTGTTGTTGTTATATCGATAGACCCCGCCTGAATACCATCCTTTACTCCGTTCTATTGAAGTGTGCAAAAGATATTAATCGTTGCATCGGCACGATAGCCGAGTGGTTATAGGTTATCGTTGTATCGCGTTAAGCCCCCGATTCGAGTTGCGTTAGAGTCAAATTAATTTTTTTAATTAAATTTTTTAATTTTTTTTAATATTAGGTGAAACAGAATTAAAAAATTTTTTTTTTTAATTAATGGTGAAACAAAAATATTTATATCCACGTCATTCATATGTTGTTTTTGTTCTTAGTTTGATACGGCTGAGTTTCGCTTCCTAAAAAGCTCTGCTGAAGTGCGCAGATTTGCTTTCTCCACATATCATAACGATAGTCTGGTGAGTGAGGGTCTCGATTCGATTCCCTCAGAATTTTATTTGATTTAGTTTTTCTTTTATGGTGAAGTAGAAAGTCAACATGCCTAAATGAACTAGTATCAAACTAGTATGAAACATTGTAGGGCAGTTGTCAGCTCATGGGACATCGCTGTGTTAAAAATACCAGTTGCTTACATGGAAAATGGATGAAGATGAACTGGTTGGTGCAAAAATGTAAACCATTTGAATTCTAGTTGACAAATCCACGTTTTTGTGGCTCTAGGCGTTTTAATCAATTTAGATTTTATAGTTACCATTATCGAGGAGCCAAGTGAAGACCAATTATTTCTGTAAATAAACAAGTTAAAGATTCTTTCTACTTTAATTTTGTTCAAAAAAAAGAAATATAAGATAAAAAGAAATAATGTAGGCCAACTGCCCTGGATAAAAACACTATTTTCACGTTATAATGTCACTGTCGAAAATCTTCTGTTTGGTCTATAATTTAAGCATGAATTGTCTTACAAACGAACGCTTGAAAATTATTGAATTTTATTATCAAAATGCTCGCTCTGTTAAGAAACCTCGTCGCGCGCTTCTTCCGCGAGCATTTCGAAGCTCACCTTTGGCTTATTGGGTGCGTAAGTAAGCAGACTCGTCGATTTTGGCGTGAAGATCAGCCAGAAGTAATACATGAGCTACCAATGCATCCAGAAAAAAACATAGTTTCGTGAGGTTTATGGGCTGGTGGCATCATTGGACCGTACATCTGTAAAGATGATGCGATTCGTGACGTCACTGAGAATGGGCAGCGCGGCCGTGAGATGATATCAGACTTTTTTTTGCCCAAAATGCAAGAGCTTGATTTGCATGACATATGGTTTCAACAAGACGGTGCCACATGTCACACAGCACGTCTAGCAATGGACTTCGGTGAACATGGGCGAGAAGGAATCTCTAAGATTAAACTCTAGGGTTCTCTTACAGAGATAAGATGATACCCTTTGGAGAAGATTAGGCTGAATTCTAAGAAGACCTAGTTTTTTATTAAGTACTGAAGTCGGTTTACATAACATCGGTGATCTTATCTTCCCTAAATCCATTTGAAACGTGAGTAGCAAGTTCAAGCAAATTAGTTACGTTAGACTTGCCTTTGCGAAACTCATGCTGGGTATTGGAAATTAATGGAAATATGGAAAATGTTATTTGCGTAGTAATTAATATTTCGAACAGTTTTTGTATAACAGAAATCTTTGAGATCCGCCTGTAACTTTCAATCGAAGATTTACTACCATTCTTATGCAAGGGAACTATATACGGACTGTTCCATAACAAGCGCAGTGTTTAGGGAAAAATTTAAGAATCATAAAAGGCCCACAACTAAAGAAACCCTTTAAGGGGTAAAGCTAGAGGTTGAAAAATGGACGGAATTTAAAAATTTATTTATTGAAGTATCAAAAAATATGCAATAATTTTATTTTTTTTTTACAAAATGTCCATTATTTAATCCATTATTTTTTTAAAGCGTCCACGGGCGGATCGGTTTCTTCGAAAGGATGAGATCTAAAACAGAAAAGCAGAAAGTTTTGTGATCTACAAACTAAGTTTTTTTGAAATTCTTATGGATTTACTTTTTAACTAATTTTTGCGAAAGCGTCTTTTTTTTACAGATTGATTTTTGGCCAAAAAACGAACACGAAATTATTAAAACAAAATTTACATTTAATCGAAAAAAGGGCTACGTACATCCAAAAGAAATGAATTAGAGTAAGCTATTATCAAAATTTTAGATAAATCGATGTAACAGGGTTCGAATAATCTATTCTGCCAGTTTGAAAAATGTAATTTTGAGAAAAACGCGTTCAAAAGTTTTCATTGCACTCAGCGCACGTTCTGAGGGGCTGCAGCAAAATATAACCAATTGCATTTCATTTCTAGGACCCAAAGGTACACTGTGAGCAAAAGAAAAAAATCTGTTTTCAAAATCCTAGAGTGGCTTTCAACTGACATAACACATCTTCGGGCGAAGCAAATGGGGTTTTAATTAAAGTTCTCGTGTAAAATTACTATTGACTAACGAAGTCGCTTCTGGATGAATTAATTGAGTAATTGGATTTGAAAAATGTTTGCACAATTTAAATTAATATTCCAAATATTATGAAAGTCACTTGATATAGCAGTTTTGTATGTTATGACGAACGGCAACCAAGAGACTCTGCGTTTACGAAATATCAAAAGGTCTTAGGATCACAAGCAATGTTCTTTTCAACCTTAATTAAATCAGCGTTGTAACATTTTTTTACTTTAAAGAAAGTGCGCCGCAGCTTGGAGTATTATATGTAGTTTAAAAGCTCAAAGTTTTTAAACAAGTTTTCTTATACAGTTTAAAAGGGCGAGAGTTTCGGTTTTCTTAAATATTTAATTTCTTCGGGCATCACAATTTCGTACAGTTGGTTAAAACCCCAATACTTTTGGGGACCAAATTTTCAAATAATCTCAAAATTGTTCAAATAAAATAGAGAATATTTATTGTTACAATAGAATTACGGTTCGGCCAAATAAATTTTGATAATTTTTGATTCAACTTTTTAAAAATAGCTTTGTTGGCTCTGACTCAATATTAAGCCTATGACGATCTATGATTTCAAGAGTCATCTCCAAAGCAGGATGATGAAGTCAGAAAATTATGAAGTGCTGTCGAGTTATACGAACCCAAGCTTTTATTAAGATTATTTGCTCCTAGAAATATCTGGCCACGACAAAGCTCGGACATTTCCTCAAAAGACGCGGGAAAAAGATGTTGCCATCGACTTGCAGCCATGAAAGGTAAATTAAAATCTCCCAAGACAATAATTAAATAGGAATTTTTTATAATTGAAACCATTATCTGAAATGAGTTAATAAGCTGAAGATATACAGATCAATCCGACTGTGGAGCTATACAAAATAATGCTACATAAATAAAGTTCGTAAATAACATCTGATGAAAATTTGTATAAGTTTGGGCGTTGGCAGTGTCGTGAAGTAGACCGTCCACAAGAAAGTTATTTCGCGGTAGTCACGATAAATTTTTAAATTTTTATCTGAAAGAATAATTAAAAGGATTAAAAATTTTTTTTGTAGCGTTTTTTTTTTACAAAAAATGTCAGTTTTGGCATAAAACTAGGCCACATGTTGGCTTGTAAACTGTGTTGAAATAAAAAATAAAATAAATCCTTCATTCAGGGACTACAAAAACATGTTTAAAGGTAGTGTGGAAAATTTGGACTCCATCGCTTTAATAATCGTTGAGAAATTTTGACTACTGATTTGGATAAAGTGGTTTTAAGAAAAACGCGTTTAAAGTTTCCCCATCGATCAAGCCATGGCAAAGACGGTGGTTTATAAAAGTCGCTAATTTCTGCAGTTTCATCTCGATCGACTTGTGAGTTGGGAAAAATATTCCTTTGAAGTTTCAAGACCTATGTAACTCGTTTTTTTGCGAAAATTTCTCGAGTAGGTTTTCTACCTTTACGTCCACCATGAAATTTAAATCCATTTTGTCATGCGACAGTCTAAATATTTTCAATAAGTTGGCATAATTTTTTAAATGAAATTATTCAACTAGAATATAACTTACGCTCAACAACAATAATGGACTCTTCAACTATTTCTGAGGACGATGTATTATAGCATTTGATGAATCTAAAATATTTTTTCAATTATGGTTTGGTTATGATCTCTAGATGCTTTCTGAAAAAGCGTGTATCCGCTAAAAGATTTTTGTGGCAGTCATACCAGTCAGATAACATTTTCGATCTCCTCACTACTGGGCTTTCAACCATGATTTCTCCAATGAGCTTTCTGGTAACCCTGCAATAGAGCACAACGTGTAACATTTAAATACGCTTTACCTCAATTAATAAATATCTCATCAGAAGTTCTTCAGTATGGCTGTTATTTATAAATGATATATCTTCGGTAATAAAGCATTTAAATATCTTGTTATAGGCCGAAGATGGAGAACTTTTTATGACATAAAACTCAATCAGCGAAAGACGTTTGTTCTAAAGCGATCTAGACAATTTATCTATCTGGTGTGATAACAATAACATGCCTTGAACCTTCAGCAGTGTAAGACCATGTGCTTTTGATGAATACTTGCTCAACCTTCTCCTTATAGAATTAATTAGTGTAGTCTAGAACAAGTCTTCAACTTTCTTGATTAGGGGCTTATGATGTAATCTAAGCTCAGCTTCCATCTTCGTGTCAGTTGCATAGTTTCGAAAGCTAGAAATGGTTTTGCCTTTCTCAAAGATGGTCAAAGAAATTCGCTTTATAACCAAAGCATTTTATTCGGTACTGTAGAGGGCAGTATTGGAATATGATTCTTTGGTATGGAATCCCAATTATCAAGTTCACTACGATAAATTAATTTTTATTTTTGCATTAAGACATTTCCGATGGAACTCTACGATAAATCTTCAGACCTATACCAACCGTTTAAAGCTTCTAAGTCTACTTGCTCTCGCAGGTCGTAGGGAAATGTTAGGCGCATTTTTCGTTGTAAAACTTCTTAATGGATCAATTTGTAGTTCATGGTCCTTATCTAAGGAAAACTTTATTGTTCCAACTCGTGTATGTAGGCACTTCAGGCTTTTGCTATTTAAGTCATATCAAACATATTATCAAATTATGAACTAACTGCACTCTCTCGTCGATTGTGTCTTGCACCTTCGACCTTTCAAACTCATTTCTTACCATCAAAAAAAAAAAAAAAGTATACTTGGTTCTGCTTTTAAGTTCTTTATTTATTAAATTCCAGCTGTTGAATATTTTTTTCTGCAGCTCAATTTCCACATTTAATAAACGCTTTCCACTCATGACTCCGCAAATTTCTCCTCTTGTCGGTTGGTCGAATACCCTCATTGAGCTTATTATTAAAAAAAATAAAGGAATCATTTCAGATTCGGCGAAGTCGTTTATGTTCTAAGCCGCTCGGCACTAATTTGTTACACAAAACAAAGCCAAGCTCTTTTGCACCCTAATCTACCAGTAAAATTTATCATTTCCTTTAACCCTGCATATGCTCGATCGCATATTTTTAGAGCAGGAATGCTTTCGTCCATACGAACGTCATGTTATTGCCAGCGTAAATACTGATTCATTGAGGTGTCGTATAACTCATACGAACACTACCCACCATCATTCGTATACAAACACAAATCGTTCGCTTAATCGCGCACAAAAGCTACGCTCACAGCTTTATAAGGTGCTGCCACAATTCGCGCTTCTTCACCATATAGGAGGACGAGAATGATGGGGTGCTTTCAGAGTTTGGCTTTTGCTCGTCGAGAGAGGACTCTGATTTTCAATTTATTCTCTTTTAGTGCTTGCAATAGTGGCTTGGTTTTCTCATTTTTACACGGTGTCTTCTCTATAATTAACAATTGAAGAAGTGATAATAGTAAAGTTCTACCTTTTTGAGTTTTATCTTAAAAGAGCTTGAAAGGTTGGAATTATCACCGGATTTGACATTTATCTCCTACCGATTTTCCATAGTTTCGTTAAAAAAAAGCAGTTATATAAGACTTAACGCCTACTTATGATTCCTTCAAATCTCCGAAAAGGGTTCCCTTTCATAAGACCTTAAAGTCATTCACCTGAGCAAAAATAAAAAACATGAAAGAAATGCTTTAAATTTGCTGAATAGAAGTTAACGGTAATGCGCAAATGTGTCCCATGCCGCCACAAAGGCGGCATGCAAATGTTGTCCAACGAGGAAGAAAAAATACGGTAAAATTCAAGAAAGAATCCGAATAAATCAAAGCAAATGCAGCTAACATCCAGTGGCAGTGAAAGGAGAAAAAATTTAAATCAGCGCAAACTGAATTTTACAGAAACGCCTGTCAAAAGAAACAGTGGACAGATAGGCCAATTGCATCATAACGAAGTTAGCAGTTTCACGGTGTTAACCAACCAAGCAACTGGTCGCTTTAGTGTCACTTCGTGAATGCCAAGAATTGCTATTGCTTAGATGATACTGCCATATCCTTTTATGCGTCTCCTATTCAATTTTTACCTCATCTTTAAACCACCCTCATCCATCTGCCCTTCATTTATCACTTTCAATGAGTGAAGGTGAAGAGAGCAAAATGAAAAAAAAAAAAAAAGGATTTTATTTACCAATCCAGTCATGAAAATTGAATTTGTTTTGTATTAGCAAGGAAGAAGCAAACGTAAGGGACTGCAAAGCCGCTTCTTGATAGAATGGAGGCCAGCAAAGGTATTACGTTAATATGATAACGCTTAATACATTCTATGTGTATTTTGGTGCATGAGATAATGCTAAACTGTATTGCATCGGATTTGAATACACACAATGCACTAGAGCAAAGGAGCACATAAGAAGCAAATACGCGTAAAATCGGCAGATATTGATATAAAGATGGAGATAAAGATAAAGATAAAGATAAAGATAAAGATAAAGATAAAGATAAAGATAAAGATAAAGATAAAGATAAAGATAAAGATAAAGATAAAGATAAAGATAAACATAAGATAAGATGCAGGCCACAATTTATACATTATTTTCACTATCTATTAAGCAATTCTACACACATGCACATGTTATGTCGCTTTTTTCTATATCTGATATGCACCCTCAAACGCACACTCCAAAAGTCTTAGCTGTCACTGCTCGTGGTTCCACTTCACTGACGCTCTTAAGTGCCCATTGATGATGCGTTAATTCATTAATGTCAACGAAAAGTAATAATGTGAAGAAGCAACAATGAATGTACAGTAATGTCATGCAAGCGTATATATGAAGCTACACATTTATGTATAATATATACAAGGCTGCAGAAATATGTGTGATATGTATGTAATTATTTGCATTATGTAAGCATACTATTTAATCATATGAGCAGACATGGAAAAAAGAATACATTGAAATAATGACGAACAAATATGTTGAGTTGTGTCAAATAGGTACTTAATTTAATTGAAATGAGCCACTCATTGATTTTCCATCAATTACGCCGCGAAGTGCTTGAAGATAATAAGAGCGCGTGAATATATGTACATACAAATACAAAACCAAATTGTGGAAAAGTTGTAATAATAAATATACGCGCAAAATCCGCTGACGTAAATATAATATTTTGGGCATAAAATAGAAAATCCTAATAATAATCCTGCGATTTGGGATGTGGTGTATGCAATAATTACCTCTACATTAGAAGTGGTCCAAAAATTATTTTTATCAGAATGAATATAAATTTCGCAAAAATTGTTCAGTACTGTGTACTTTGTTTACTCTTTGCACATAAAAATTATCTAAGAAAACAAATTTAATTTAGATTTTTTCGCTAGTCAATTTTTTCATCGTTTGTTTTTTTTTTTAAGTAAAATTTATTTTTAGGTACCAGTACTAGTTCATTTGTATACTTGACTATAAACACATACTGAAACACCAAAATATTAAACCACCTTTTGTACATATATATGTGTGTAAGCACATTAATCCTTACATTTTGTGCAATTTGGCGTTAAGCCACGAGCCAAAATATTATGAATAAGCAATATGTGCTCAACAGTGGAGTAAGGAAAGAGACAAAAATTAAAAATAAAAAAAATTAATAATTTTCTCATGATTATTTTCGTATAGACTGCTAGCAAAGCGAGTTTTGTTCATGAATTTTTATTTTGAAATATCAAAAGGCGGAAAGAGAAAAATCCTTTCAATTGGTCTGCTACTAAGCGATATATATATCTGCGAATATCTTGCAATCCAATGAAGTAAGCGACTACATTACACTACCAGCATTCAACGCCGTCATAAGTAGCCTCAGTGGCTTGCTGTGTTGCTTTAGTATGTTCACACTAACAAAATTTGTTTAGAACATTCCAGTGCGCTTGGTATATTAAGTGCCCAAAAAGTCTTTACACGTACACGTATGCATGTGTGTGGATGTGCAGAGAGCAAGAGGTATAAGATAAGCGCTGATATATTACTCCGTCTAGCTGGTTATCTACTACAGTATAAAAATGAGAGTACATAATGTAGCAGCTCCATTAATTTCAAGTTTTCTCGCTTTGTGGTGAGCTTATTATTCTGAAATGGTTGTTGGAAATCTTTTATTTTCAAATTAATTTAGAATTTTTTTTTTGTTTTATGCAAATATCATAGAAATCTATTATTGGAAAATACAAGAGCGAAATCATATGTCTAAGGGGCACACCTGGTGTAATGGTCTAAAAACAGGTGATAAAAGGGAATTTGGATTAAAAAAAAATACTTTATCAATTATTTCAAAATTTAATAGCTCATAATAGAGCACACCCTCGTGGTCCCACCAAATTCATAGCATAACCTTGACACCATGGATATTCGGCTTCACTATGGATGTCGATGGTTTTCCGGGCTTCACATACGATCTCTTTCGCTTTGGGTTATCATATTGAATCCATTTTTCATCGCCAGTGACAATCCGCTGCACAATGACTTCCTTTGGTGGCGTTGTAGCAACATTTCCGACCCGCAGAATCGACGTTCGACGTCTCTTGGCTTTAATTCATAAGGCACTCAATTTCCAAGCTTCTGGATGAATCCCAATGAAATTAATCGTCTGGAAACGGTTGCTCGATCAACTCTTAATACTTTTGCAAGTTCTTTTTGCGTCTGGCATGTATCTGTGTCGAGCAATGTCCCCTATTCTTTGTCTTGAAATTTGTTTGGCTGTCCGTGTCGTTCTCCGTCGCCTAAGTCAAAATCACCACTTTTAAACCGTGCAAAGCACTTTTGGCACATTCGTTCGGCTAAAGCATGGTCACTTTAAATGTCCAGGAAAATACGATGGCTTTCGGTA